TGAGCAGCACCTCTGGAGAGACTCAGAGCCTGGAGAGGCCAGGGTATTTTTAGACAGGAAAGGAAGAGGTGTTATGGGTGCAGGAAAGAACTCCTCTCCCAGTAAGAATCAGTTGAAAGGCCTGGGGCACCAGGGGGAAGATGATCAGGCAAAACAGAGAGTGCGCTGTTCAAGCACACCACCTGTTCTGAGGATTTCAAGGCACTTCAATACCAGAACACATCTCAGCCAGGCATGGTGGCAAATGTCAACAAGTCTAGCTCTGGGGAGGCTGAGGCAGGAGAACAGAGAGTTGAGGGGAGGGATGTGCTAAGCTACTGACTGAGAGACCTCTGTTCTCAGTCATTTTCCCAAGTGGACAATTCAGAGAGTATATGTCAAACAATAAAAGCTGTTCATTCCTAGGAGTGAAATCCCTGGAATGGTGGGATGGAGAACTGCCTGGGCTCATCAGATGCTATTCCCTAGTTTCCTTCTCCTGACTGGAAGGGAAATTCCTGGGGAACTGTGGTAATAAGACAACTGACTCCACAGGTCTGACCTCATAGCAGTACGATTCTGTTAGATCCACCCCAACACAGTTTACACAGCTATGAGTCTAGAAGACAGAGGAGAATAAAAAACTATTCAAGGAAAAGAGAATACATCCCAAGCTGAACTGATCCTCAGTGAGGATCTGGGTATGAAACCAACAGATGTCAGGGATATAGGACTTAGGCCAGAGTCTCATAACAGACAGTGGGCTTCTGATAGAACTTAATACATACACAGTTACTAAACTCCACTCCAAGAGGCTCCAATTCCATACAATGAGAATGGATCCTGGAACAAAGTTTACTTTCTTCCTTTTTTGAGACAGAGTTTCATATAATGCAGGCTGGCATCAACCTCCCATGTGCTGGGACTTCAGATGTGTGCTATTTTGCTTGGTTTATATGATGTTGAGAATGGGGCTGAGGGTTTAATGAATTGTCAGGCAAGCACACTGCCAGCTGAGCTGCACCCTCAGGCCTCAGAAGGCTTATTTTTTAAATGTTTAATAGTCTGAGGCCCTACTGACCATTCTGCCAAGCTAGAGCTTATGATTCACAAATGCTTTGAAAATAAGTATGTTTTTCTCTACCAAAGAGGCAGGAAAGGCTTTTGATACTAATATCTGGGCTCAAATACTGAGCAAAGGCTGAAATTAGATTATTGCTAGTTTTCACTTTTTCATGAAACCTACCTACACACTCTTCTTAGAGTCAGCACATATTAAAAGGCTCAAAGTAACAGCATATGACCATACAGGAAAAGAACAAGAATAGCTGTGCAATCATAAAGCTGGGCTAGAAGAAAATCTGAAGAAATAATATACAACCTAGACCAGATTAATAGCAACTAAGAAATGATTTAAAATGATCCTTTAGCATAGGAGTCCTTTTGTGTCCCTAACTTCTACCCTGCCTGCTCAGCCTCAGTCCATTTCTGTCCCTTGTAAAAATAGAACCACCCAAGCTCCCTCTACACAAAAAATTTCAGAAACTTTAGGAAAAGAGGGGGAGAGAAAAGGATTAGCTTCCAAGAACACACACATATCATTCCTAAAGAAAGCCCAGCCTCAGCTAAGACAGAGGTGGAAAGTGACAAATGCATAGGACTTGGGCTTGAAAGGTATTTACAGCTGAGAGCTTCAAGTCCTTCAAGAATCTGCAGACCTGGCAATGACATCTCAAACCAGTCTTCTCCAATTTACTGTAGGAAGCTCCCTCCCTGTGAAAAGCTTGATAAAATCACGTTGCTCATCTAACCTCCCTATAGTAATTAAACCCCACCCTTACTACTGGCTCCCTCATCTCAGCTTTAAGCCATATTTCCTCTCCAGTAGAAAAAGCCCTCAAGGAGCAGCGTCCTGTCTACTTCCTTTCAACCATTTCATTACTCCTGGGTTTGACTTCTTAGTAGGACACAACTCTTCCTGATCCTTTCTCATTCTTCTGGACATTCAAGCTCATCTGCAATAGCATCTTTCCTACTTGACATGTAGTTTATACTGTAAAGAACTTGTTCCCTGTTGTCTTTAGAAAATTAACACACACATAAAAGGACAACTAGAGATTGGTTTCTAAGTAGTAGAATTAGTCAAAGAAGTCTTTCTGCTTTGTAAGATATGGAGATGGAGCTAGAAATGAAGTGTATAATTTTGTCACACAAAATGGTATGATTCAGAGCAAGAGAATTACAAGTTTGTGGCCTGCCTGGGCTACCAGATAGCCAGGACTTATCTCAATTAAAAAAAAAAAAAAGTTAAATAGGAGGTTACCTGAGTAAACAACTAGATAATGCTATTGCTATTCTGATCCCTCCTTCCTTATCTCCCAAGTGGCACATCTTTTTATCTTCAAGTTTTGTTTCAAGATTAGCTACCATGCTCAGGTACAGTAGTATATAACCGTCCCAGCATTCAGGAGCCTGAGGCAGAAGGATCTCCAATTTAAAGTCATAGAACAAACAAAACAAAATCAAGTGTCCATGGGTCCATGTCACAACTACCTTAGTTGCCATGTATTAGGGAAACTCATGGGCCAGGTCTTATGAGGGCCATAAAGCAAGCTTTTACAATAACCTTAGGTAGAAAGTCTTCACTGTGGAGTATTTGGGAAGGTCACCTACCAGGTACAAAAGACTGCTCATGCCCTGTCATACCAGTTCAAAGCTCAGCACTGACTTCCTACTTCAAACAAGGATGTTTACTGGTGATGCCAGAGGTGGTTTTCTTTCAGTTTTCCTACAGTGACCCTTTTTTGCCTCAGGGCTCACAGTTCAAATAGCCCTTCCTGTCAAGTCTTTCCTAATTTCCTACCCCTATAATTCCATTGACAATTTAGTGCATATTTCTAGACCAGCACTTACCAAACCTGGTTGTAATTACTTGTTTACATGTCTAATTTAGCTACAAGCTCTTTGGTGGCAAGGATAATGTTTTATTCATCTCTGGTTATTCACCCAATAGGCACTCAATAAATACTTGTTGAACCATTAATGATGACAGACATGGGGCATGTTTAAGAATGGCCATGACACCTTCCAGATTCTAGACGACTTTGTGGTAAGTACTCACACTACAGGATAACCTCCCATAATACATCCCTACTGTGTGTACTAATCCTAGCCAGAAAGGAGCCCAACGATGAGAGAAAATTGGTCTAATAGTACTGCCATGAGTCAGCAAAGGTCCTGTTGTGGTGGTGCATGCCAGTTAGGATATGCCAGGGAGGCAGAGGCAGGAGGACCAAGAGTTAGAGGGCAGCCTGAGCTACATCTTTAGGGCCAGCCAGGTGGCGTGGCAGGTAAGAGTGCTTGCCATATTGACCTCCACAACACTACGGGACATTCGCACCTGCATGGACACATCACAATATGATAATGACAAATAAAAGTATATTGGCAAGCAGAGTTGTATCCAAGAGTGTCTAAGTTGGAGGACTCATTGTTCTGCCTCTAGAAAACAGGAACAATTATTAGTAAGAGTCCTTGAAAGGGGCCCTAATCCCACCACCATAAAAACAAGTGGCAAATTTTAATTCAATAGAATCCCTGCTAGAATATACAGGACAGCTGTTCACCTTACCAAAGCCAATTACGCCTCTGCTAAAGGACTCTGTAAGTCCTTCCAGAACTCTGCCACGTTGAATATTAAACTCTAAGTCTTTCCTCAATAGGGTTGCTCATCTCTAAAGAGTCTCAGGCAAGGCAATAAAATGCTGCTGTCTCAAAGGACTCTGTCCTTAGCAATCCTGTACCACACAAAGCTATTGTGGTTACAGGCTACTAATGAAACACAAAACCTAATTTGATCCTGTGGGAACAATGCTTAAGATTCCCTCAAGGGATTAAATAAATGTATTCTACTTTTGTATGCCCAAAATTGAGGGGACCAGCAAAGCTGAATAAAGCATAAGCTGGGCATGCCAGAATCCCAACACCCAGGACACGATGGCAGGAGTTTGAACCCAGACAGGACTATGTAGCAAGGCTCTGTCTTGAGAAACAAAACAAAACCACAAACAAACAAATAAAAAACAAGCATAAGGACCCAAACCCAGACAAGTTTTAAGAATGGGAGATGAGTGTCTGACAGAAAAGGACGCTGGCATATGGTAACCAGGAGAAACCGTGTATAAGTGTAAACCAGGGAAGATGTCTTTCTGGAACACATCTGGCTCCATGTTTTCATGAGAAACCAAGAAGCTCCTATTAAATAAAGTTAGGTCTCTTAAAGAGATAAAAGTTTATATTTATTTCTTTGTAGGTGTTCATGTATACATACACGTGTGGAAGTCAGAGAACTACTCCCAAGAGTTGCTTTACTTTTTCCATCTCGTAAGTCAAAGGAATACAAACCAGGAGATCACACATTTTTACCAGTTGATCCATCCTGCCAGCACAATCTTCTTCATCTTTTTTAGACAGGACAGAGTCTCACTATGCAGCCCTAGCTGGGCTGGAACTTGTACAGACCAGGCTGAACTTGCCTCTGACTCCCTAGTGCTCAGATTATAGGCATGCATCACTAAGTCTGTCAAAACGTTGTTTTGGTATCTCAAATGAAGTGTTTTAGTATTTTTCTTTTTTGCAAGTGTATTATGGCATAACCCCAACTGTTACATTAATACATCCACATTAGTCACAGCTAGGTCCTTTATGGAGTAGGTGATCCCATAGTCCTCGTCCAAGAAGAGAAACTGAGTCACAACACATCAACTAGCTTCCCCAAGCACACCGTTTGAACTGAGGTCCTAAGCACTTCTTCCCATGGCGGAGTTTCAGCAAGCACACCCACACTTGCTGTTGTTCTTCCAACTTCAGATCAGGTAGTCATAGATAAGCACATTTGATCTTTTAGCGCCAACAGAGGAATTGCATTATAATCTTTTCTTCCCCAAGAAAGAGAAAGGTGAAAAGGGAACAGGTATAAGAGAGTGTAGAGTTGTACAGAGGTGACTCCCAGTAGTACTCACCTTGGAGCTGAGGTCTTCTCGCCGGTTTCCTGTTTTACTTCTGCGTAATTTGATGGATGGTGACCGCAGCAAGTTCTTGATGCGGCTGGTAATGGTTGACCCTTCCCCAGCCATAATAACCAGGAGCCCCTAAGGACAGTCCCTGGCCTAGACTTAGGACTTGTCTCGACAGTGGTACTGCCTTCTCGCTTAACACGGCCTTCGGATATGCACGTTCACTGGCCTGAGATGGCAGAAGCAATCTTGGCATCACAGTAGGTGTCTTCTGCCTGTCAGCCGGTCTTACTCTGGGCATTGCCCTGTCCTTTCTCACTACTCATCCCCACCCTAGCCTGCTAGATTTCTTAGGAAGGAAGGACGACCCCCTAGAGTGAAGAAATGTCAGGCCCACGCCAGCGAGAGGCGTTTAACTGAAGAATGGGATGGGCTCTAGGAGGACTTGGCGCCGGTTATAACCCAAGTGTTCCCATGGTAACTGCGGTGTCCAAGGAAGGAGGCCGCCTAAGCCACCCAAGCGGTCCTCAGGGGGCCGGGTCACTACGCTGGCAGCCGGGGCTCGTGCTGACCCGATCTGATACGGGAGCCTCCCTCCCCCACCCTGGCCTTGGGAGCTGCTTTCCAGTCCCCGCACACCCACCGCCCGCTTCAAAAGCCCCTAATACTCGTCAGCGCCCCCGTTCGCTCGGGCCCAGCTCACAGCGCCCTCGGGGATCACGCTCGGCGGCTTCAGCTCCGCCGCGGCAGCCGCAGCAGCAGAAGCTATGGTGGCACCAGCGGCTCAAAACGCGAACCAGAGCCTGGGCCGAGCTGTGCTGGGAGGCGGGGCCTAGACGAAGGGGCAGGCGATCTGCGGCAGATCGGTTCCTGATTGAACGAGCGGCGCCTCTGGGGGCGGAGGCAAGGAATGAACCGTGGAAGCAGAGGGCTCGGGATTCTGCCCGGTATAATTGTGGGTACCGCTCTTAAAGGAAGGTCAACATAACATGGCTTTAGAATTGAGAGAACCAGGCCTTTTACGGTATTATCAAGCCTGGTCCCCCAGAGAACTTACCAGATCCTCAAGACGATAACCACGCCCTCAGGCCTAAGGTTGATATTTGGTAGGCCTGAGACCACGGTTGAAATTTAATTCCCTAACTCATTAAAAAAAAAAAAAAAAAAAAAAAAAAAAAAAAAAAGTTGGGACGCAGCCAAAAGAACTACTTTCCACTCCCAGTGCTGGGATTTAACACAGTTGGAATACTTTGTGATTACGGTCAGTCTAATACAATGACTCACGTGGAGTAACTCAACTCACACACTTTTGAACTGAGCCTGTTAAGGATGGATGACTCAAGCCTCCATAGAGCCTTCGGTAGGCTGCGAACAAAAGAAATGAATGCACCTATATTATCCGTCATTTCCTTAGCCACCAACATCCTTACAGCACTTTATTCACAGCATTAACAGTATTTTGCTACTCCAAATATTTGCTCAGCCTTGTCAAGATTTGCAAACACCCTTAGGGCTGACACCGATATCAAGCATACTGCTGTCGTTTTGTTTTGTTGTTTTTTCCTAGTTCATGGAGATAGGAGAAATATTATCACATACTCACACTTCATAGTTAGGACATGTCGGTTTATTTTTAGAAGTTCTAGAATTTCCCATCTAGTTACTACTTTAAGAAATTACCTGAGGGTGGGGGGCGCTGGACAGATGAATCAGAGCGCTGGCTTCTTTTCCAGAAGACTCAGGTTTAAAAATTACCAGCACCCTCGGTGGCATCTCACAACCATTCCGGGAAATTTGTCGCTCTCTCCTGACCTCCGTAGTCACCACGCACATGGATGCACAGACACAACAGTAGGCAAAACACCCACCCACGTACATGTTTATTTTTAAATGCATTCTGAAAAGGATAGCTTAAACCAAAGGCCGGTACTTAAGTGGAATAGTATACTGACATGTCTCTCCCATCCCAGACTTTGGGAATTCCTGAAGATGGTGGGTTTACAAGAGGGAAGGATCTCTAATGTCAGTTTTCAGTGGCACTTGCACAACCACTGTTCAAACATGAAAGTACCTGTGTACTATATAGCTATGTATTAAAAGCAAATGTATAAAGCTCACAGGTTGATATGGGCATCAGGGATGCTACCAACTGGCAATAGTAACCAGAGGCCTTTCAACCATGCATTGCAGATCTAATGAAACGAAAACGGCACTTCTAAATGTACTGTCTAAACCTGAAGACTGTAATGATAACTATAGAAATAGCTGATTCTTTAACTCAGCACTATTAGTGATCTATGGTTTGACCTCTCCACGGAAGCTGCTGTAACATTGCTAACAAATGGCGCCACCTGGTGTTTTCATTGTGTGCTACAGAACTTGGTCTTCCTGATGCACAAACCTTTAGGCAAAATTCTATTTACTAATAGGTATTCTCACTTCTCGTTCAATGTTAGTAAATGGGTTTTCAGATGTAATTTCTCAACCAAAGGTACTTTGGATTAGCTCCTTAGAGAGCCCCATATACACCCCATTACTTTCGGCTGATTGGAACTGCACAGACTAAGTGCTTGCTTTCCTTGTCTAAAGACTGAGACTCATCTAAGTTGAAAAACTGAGGAAACATGAGGGATGTAATTCTTGAACTTGGGTTATTTTCAGGCTACAGCCAAAAAATCACTTTAAAAATTCTTCCTAGTCCCAAGCAAACCATCTAAGTATAATGCTGCCTTTGAGATGCTAGTATGGCAATAGGTTGGAAGTTTTTGTGTTTCTTGGATTCCTCGAAAACATGTCCAAGTGCAGTGTGAAGAGAAGTGTTAACTCCTTACTCAATGTGTCATCCTACCCACCAAGATGCAGTTGACCTCCATGAAGTGTGCTGACTGTGTTATGTCCAAAGCAAATACACATTGTGTTCATGATACTAAAAACTCCAGATGTTTGGGAATGTTACAGTAGTCTTGCTTTGGATTACTAGATCAGATTTTAACATTCATCCTAGGCAAATAAGGTGCAAAAGTCCTGGAAAATTAGCATGTTAGAATAAACATTTGCTCATCAGTTCCAATATTTATTGAGTACCTTTACATTTAAGGCACTGTGAGAGCACTGAGACCAATGAATGTAGTTAGAAACAAAATAGGTCTCAAGTCAATGCTTCCAAGCTGCTTTCCCATAGAATTTATTAGCTTAGATTTGCCTCAAAATTCCCACCTCCTTGTTATGGTTTAGCCTCCTAACCCATGTCCACAACTGCTGCTTAACACTGTGTCTTTGTAAATTAATTTTAAATATACTAAAAGTTTGTTAAATTGTATATGAAATTATTTTTATTTCCAGTATGCATAACTCTCTTCATCAACAGGAAATAATTTTATCTACCTTGGCACACACACACACACACACACACACACACACACACAATCATTAGCTCCTCTGAAACTCACTAAGTAGACTAGGCCAGCCTTGAACTCACCTGACTCCACTTTCCCAAATCCTGGAATTAAAGGCATATATCAAGTCTTTTTCTTCTTTGAGAGAAGAGTCCAACTATAAAATCCTGGCTGGACTATAAAATGTGTTTGTTATTTCTTGAGTCTGCACACCACGGCATGTTAATTCATGGTAGATAGTCGTTCTCTTTCTACCATGATTTCTAGACATTGGATTCAGGTCATCAGAGTTGAAAGCAAGCACCCTCAACTAGTAAGTCATCTCACCAGACCAAGCTTTAATTTTCTGTATTCTAGTCATTCATGCATGTGTAAATCTGTGTGCATATAGGTGCGTCTGCACTTGTGAGTATGGACATTAGAGGATTGCCTCTAGTGCCAATCTTATGAATGCCACCAAGTTGTTGTGACAAGGTCTCTCACTGGCTAGACTGGCTGGCCAGATAACCCCAGGGGATCTCCTGTGCTGGGATTATACACGCCTTCCATTTTTACATGGGTTCTAAGAACTCCAGTCGTACTTGGAAGGGAAGCACTATTCCTAAATGAACCCCCCCCACCCCAGCCCAGGTGGATGTGAATTTTTTTGTTTCCCTTTTATTTAATGTGCAATGGTGTTTTTGCCTGCATGAGGGTATTGGATACCCTAGCAATGGAGTTCCAGTTGTGAGCAGCCATGTGGGTGCTGGGAATTGAACCGGGGTCCCTTGGAAGAGCAGCCAGTGCTTGCAATTGCTGCACCATCTCTCCAGCTCCATGGATGTCAGTCTTAATTAGCTATGATACATGGAGTTATCAAAAGGCCCTTATAGCACTTTCTTCAAAACCACAATTCTGTGTAATCAATTTTATTGATTCCTTGAGTAGCATCAATTCTCCATGAGATGAAGGCATAAACCTGAAGTTCCTGAAAGTGAACTGCCTATATTATCCATATGGGGCTTAGTTAGTTCTAGAAGAGACAAGGGTTTTCACCATTTTTGCAGACCTGTCTGCAAGGCAACCAATCACACAGTTCCACTACAGTCAGGAAAAATTATTAAACTGCCAAAAATAATGTATAAATATGTGTGTGGTGTCATACACCTTAAATCCCAGTGAGCAGAGGCAGATGGGTCTCTGTGAGTTCAAGGCCAGCTTGGTCTCCATAGAATCGGAAGCTAGTCAGAGTTGCACAGTGGGACTGTCTCAAAAAAACAAAAAGTGTGTCTACTGTCTTCTGTGTTCAAAACATTTTCAAGCCTGTTAAGAAAAGCCTATCAATTCATCCATAATCTTGGGGGAACAAAAGTCAACTGCATTTATCACACAAGTATACAAAGTAAACACTTTTATTTGTTTCATTTTGTTTTTTGGGGGTTTTTTATTTTTTGAGAAAGGGTTTCTCTGTGTAGCTTTGGAGCCTGTCTGGACCAGGCTGGTCTCCAGATCAGCCTGCCTCTGCCTCCTAAGTACTGGGATTAAAAGTGTGTGCCACCATTGTCCAGCAAAGTAAACACTTTCTACGAAGCGTATATAACCAACTAAATTTGATCTGTCAATTGCCTTAACTAATCACGAACAGTTCAATGTTCAAAAGACTCCCATAAGAACACTCTGTAAAATATGAAACCCCTTAATACCATGTCTTAAGAACACCTATTAGGCTATCAAGATGGCTCAGTGAGTTTGTTTGCTGTGAATGCTTGACAACATGAGTTTGATCATGCATGCCATGGCACATGTATTCAATACACACACAAAAATTTTAAAAGAACACCTATTGTTCCTAGCCACTAAGATTGTGTTTACGGTCTGTTCCCCCAAGGCAACAGTGGTATTACGAAACTAGATTTCACTATAGAATGGCAAATATGTCATCAAATTGTACATGATTTTGACGTCCCAGATAAGGGCTAGAACACCAAAGGTCTTCCCAAATGACACATAAAAAGCTCTAAGAACAAGAAGCTTCTGAAAAGACTTCAATAGCTTCCTCTCTCAAATATATGATTGACTTCTCCAACTAGGCACAAACCTCCCAACACCAAAGTTCTGATTTAATTAGTGTAACTGGTTTATTTCAGGTTCACATCTTGCCTTTCAACTGCCAAACTTGTTATTTCTAAAAAAATAATCACTTTCAAAAGCAGAAATGAAAGATATATATTTAATATATAAAAGAAAATGCTAAATCTGACATAATTATATTCTTAAAAACATTCCATTTATTTACAGGTGTATAAAAAGGCGAGTTATTGGTCTACTGAGATCATGCTTCTAGTGAGGGTGGGAGCTTTTTCCAGGTTCTTCCAATGCTCTCACTTAACTTCACCTTTCATAA